CTGACAGATGCGGCTGCCGAGGTCCCCGGCAAGCGTGATCTTGGGAAGCCGCATCTGCCTGAAAATGGATCTCCCTCTGAGCTGTGGACAGCTTGTGCCTGTTTACAGGTGCCCACAGCACAGTTTCAGGCACCCAGATCGTGCTTGCTGAGGACCTCGGCAGCCGTATCTGTGATTGCTCCTCCTCAGGCTCCCTGACACTCCCTGCCTGCGGAGCCCAGACAGCCCTGGGAGTCGCACAGCCCACCTTATATTCGCACAGCCCACCTTATATGCGCACAGCCCTCCTGAGTGTCGCACAGCCCTCCTGAGTGTCGCACAGCCCTCCTGAGTGTCCCACAGCCCTCCTGAGTGTCCCACAGCCCAGCTGAGTGTCACACAGCCCACCTGAGAGTCTCACTGCCCACCTGAGTGTTGGACAACCCTCCTGAGTCGCACGGCCCAACTGAGAGTCGCACAGCCCACATGAGTGTCGCACAGCCCATCTGAGGGTCCACACAGCCCATCTGAGAGCCCGCACAAGCCACCTGGAGACATCAGGGTGCCAACCCAGAACAACACAGAGTGTGTAGCTTCATATTATTTTGTATTGCTGTATAATGTATTACGGGGATTTGTAGTCCTTTATAGCTGGTCTTCATACTCCCTCCCCGGCTGCTTCTCCTCACTCTCTCCTCTATAGTCTAAAAAAAAAGAAAATTGCTGCAACAGAGTATGTTTACTGTGTCCTCAATTATGAATGCATGGGAAGTGATCTACATCACCTCCTGTGCATTCATGATTGTGGTTATAGTAAACACACTATGTCCTCATGTTATGAATAAACAGGAACACTCAGTATAAAGGCTTCCTGTTCATTGATAACAGGGCTGCAAAATAAGAGATTGAGGGCTCTGTGTCCTCAATCTCTTTTTATATTTTAAAAGGGAAATATCAGGGGTCTGTTTAGACCCCTAATATTTCCCTGAAGCCCTCAACAGTAAAGTTAAAGAAAAACATTTAATACAAATAAATAAAATATAAAAAAAATTAAAAAGTACCGTATATAAAAAATGTAATATTTTTACAAATTTGAAAATATATTTTTTTTAAATAGGTTTTCGGCCTGACTTTTTATTTTCGGCTTTGTTTTGATTTAAAAATAATAATTTTGGTGCACCTCTACCAATAAAGTTAAGTTAAAAAAAAAAAGTTAAATAAATTTAAATACACCCCAAAAACATTTTTAAACACATGTTGGATGTGTCTACGTATGTAAACCACAATTGTGCCATACGTTAGGTATCGCCGTCCATGCCTGAGTAAGAGGAATAATTTTAGGACCATAATTCCAGTTAACTCTAAATTGATCACCTTTTGAAGAGTCACTTATGGACAATTTGGGGTACTGTAATTTTTTTGCCATTTCACAGGCACATGCAATTTTGAAGCTTGACATGTTTGGTATCTATTTCAGGGGTGTGGAAATTTTGGAAAAAACTACTTGTCCCAGGACTAAAGCGGGGGCCGAATCTACTTGTCCCTCATGACAATCTACTTGTCCTGATACAAAAAAAATAATTTTAACCAAAACCGTATTTAGCAGTGCTAAGAAGCGCTTCTCATTGGTCAGTGCCGTCAGGTGACTGCGTTGACCAACGAGTGCTTGCAATTTGCGAGCGAAATTCAGACAACATGGAACAGGCACAGATAGTACACCCGTACTCGTAGACGGGAAGGACCGTTTGCTGAAAGGTAAGTATGGTGGGAGGGAGATTTGTGCGGGTAATTCTGTTTTCCCAAATTACTTGTGAAAATGAATTTACCCTTTAGGGTTGGTGCAGACTTGGGGATTCCCAGGACGTGCGATCGTGTGCGGTTGCATAAAGCGTTTGCATCCGCATGTATGGGGTTACATCTGCGTGGCAATTGCTGAAAAAAAGGTAGATGTACCTATTTTCACGGCATGCACCGCGCAGTGTTTTCAACCGTGATCGCAATAAAAATAAATACATTTTATGTATCCCCCCCTTAGAAATATATATTTCCTAAAAGCAGAAAGAGACCTTGTAGAATAAAATGGAGACAGTTGAAAATTTCTATGTTGCATAATAATACTAATTAAATTAAAAATTGCATACCCTAAATGGTCCATAGGCGACACTTTAACAGCCTGTAGCGGCCATCAGTTTAGCGATAACCGTGAATATTGGCCCTAGAATTATTCCTCTCACTCTGGTGCATGTGGCGATACCTAACATGTGTGGCATAATCATTGTTTCGTACGTAGGCACATCCGATGCGTGTTTGCGCTAGTATGAGCACGTTCATGGGGATAGGGGACTTTAAACAATTTGGGGGGGTTAGATCATGCTTGATGAGCTTCTTCCCTGACTTCTGTAGCCAGAAGCATGCAAAATCATTATTGCTTTCAGCATCATTCAGTGAGGAGACAAATGGATGTTCGCTGGTATCTCTTCCTGCTACCCACGATGCTGGTCCCAAGCATGGCGGGGGATGGGGACTCCGTTCACTGGCCCCTAGAAGCTGTCGATTTTACATACTGTTGATGTGCCCGCAGCCAGTGCTGTAAACCCTACAGATTTAAAGGGTTAATCTGAGGGGGTTAGTAATCTTCACGTCTAAAATGCGCATTTTAACGTGTGCAAAATAAGGCGCTGGCAGCAAAGGGGTTAATGAGGAGGAGACACCCCCATGAGTGTGATATCATTCCCTTTTATTTTTACTGTTATCATAGTCTATTTTTCCTATTAATTATATAGAAAATTTACATTATTTCTATAACAAAAGCTCGTTAATAAACTCCTTGGTTATCCCCAAACAAAGACAAGCCCCCCCTCACATCACGCACAGCTAAACATGAACACAGCAGAACACGTGTCCCCGGCAGGCTAGCGCTTAGTCAGCGGTAGGCGTGGCTGAGTGACGAGAACGCCGTGGGCGGGGCTTTCGCGTCACGGATCAGCACTCGGGAGGAAGGTGAAGACATGTGGCCGGGGCTGAGGCTGATTCGGCGTCAGCTTGCCACGGCGGCGGCGGCCCGTGGTCTGGTGTACGAGAAGCATGGGGAACCGTCGCAGGTGCTTCGGTGAGACACTGGCTCCCACATAACATGTGCAAGGAAAGTAGGAGCGCGGCATTATGGGAAGTAAGGGAGGAAGCGTGACTCAGAGCATCATATGAGAAGGGGGCGTGGCCAAGTGACTGCCCTTTGGGTTGTTATAGGAGGCTGAATGAGTGCACATCTATGCTAGTGGAAGGATAGGATGGAAGCAATGGCAATAAAATAAGGCAGCACAGGGTAGCAGCTGCAGGGAAGATGCGAAACAATAACATCTGCAATTATTCAGTTCTGCAAGCAACATAACCTATAATGAAGGGTTTATAAAAACTGGAGCAGTTGCCCATAGTAACCATCTTATCTCTTCAGTTTGTTCTGTTATGCTTTGAAAATGGAAGCTGATTGGTTGCCATGGACACTTATCCAGATTCTGTCTGCTCCAGTTTCAATAAATTCCTCTCAATGGGGGGAATTTATGAAAAATGGAGCAGTTGTCCATAGTAACCAATTCATTTCTATAGTTTGTTCATTTAAGCTTTGAAAGCGAGAAGCTGATTTGTTGTCATGGGCAAATGCTCCCAGTTTTGATAAATTCCCTCCAATGTGTGTTATGGCAGCGCAGTGCACCATTGATTCTGTGGCTTTAATGCATCAATTTTGCTGCCAATACATATTGATTTAAAGCTGAATTGCAGGCAGATCTGAAAGATGTCATGTAGCTCTAAAGTTACTACTCCCTTAAACCCATCTCTGGAGGAAAAAATAAAACCTCCCCTGGCAGTGGAGCTGCCCCAGCACTGCAAGGGTTGACTGCTCGTCTGAGTTTAGGGTACCTGTGTAAAGGATTTTTTACTTTCCTGATCTGCTCTCCTGCAGGCTCCAAGATACCTTCAGCATCTTCCCCCCTTAGGTTCTAGAGGTGGGAGACCCACTGATGTCATTCTGTACCATTAGGGGACCCTAGCTCTGCATTATACGAGAGGACTCTTAAGGGACATTGTGGGGAAGTAGAGGAGATAGCCGGGGTAACGGGTCAGGTAATTAAAACTGCTTTACCATGGACCTAAATGAGCAGTTAAAGGAGTACTATGGACTAACTTTTTTTCCATAGTTATCTTTAGAGTCATGGGAGGACATATAATAACCTCCTCCCATGACCCAAAGCTCAGTATATAGCACGCTATATACTGAGAGTGCCGCAGCTGGGATGGATCCTGAAATACTGTTGAGATCCATCCCGCTGCCTGACAGCTGTGCCCACCCCCTTCCCTGTCTGTCCCTCCAGTCAGCACTGGAGGAGCGGGGAGGGGGGGAGATCCCTGCGGGGAGCGGTAAGTGACAGTCATGGCTCTCTGCAGGGACATGATCGAGAAGTGAGCGAGCAATGGTATGTTTCTGCTCACTCCCTGATCTATAGAACCGACGTGTGACAGTTTCATTGTCACTCATCGGCTATAACTACGAGGATGAGTGTAATTCACACACCCCATAGTTCTCCTTTTAATCCTTGCAGTACAGGGACAGCCCCGCTATAAGAGGATTTATTTTTCCTCTGGAGATAGGATTTAAATGTATTTTTCTAAATGCAAGCAGTGTAGGTACCTTTTTGTCTTGATATCTGCCTCTTAACCCTCATTCACACCCAAGCGACAGCGTCTTTGCACGTAGAAACGCACAACTTGAGTAGCACGCTCGTGCACATTTTTGCACATTGCGCATGCATACAGTCATGCGTTTTTGCAAGCAGATTGATGTGATTGGACAAACATTTTATGCGTGTAAAAATGTGCATAAAAGCAGCAAACGCACGTTTTTAAGTGTTTCAATTGAAATCTATGTGGCCAAGAAGCACAGAATCTGCCAAAAAGAAGCTCATGTACTTTCTTCAAGCGACGGGCGTTTTGTACAAGCAACAAAACACTCAGATGTGAAAATGGCCATAGAAATTAATGTTTTTGTTTTGTTTTTTAAGCAGAAAAGGTGCTACAAAACACTGTGTGAATGAGGGCTCCCAGTCCCTTTTACAACAGTGCTTATATTGGGTAAGAGAGACGCAGCACAAGGAGCTAATCAGTTGTGCTGAAGGGCAAGCTGCATGCTGATGGGAGGAGAGCAGAGTGAAAGGGAGTTGAGTTTTTTCAGGCTGCCACTTCTCATCTCACTGTTCAGACATGTAAAGGTGCCCATTCACCTGCCGATTATAGTACGATAATCGTGGGAAATCCCGCAATCGTAGGATAATCGGCAGGTGTATGGAAGGCGTGCGACCGTTTTCTATTGTACGGTTGCACGTCTTTTGTCCTACGTGCAGGCTCGAAAACCCCCCGAGAGCCATACGATTATCGGCGGGTTTGTGGCCTGCTTGTAAGACAAATGCCGCACGGGCCGGTGTGTGCAAGCGCTCACTGCCTGTTCAGCATTGCAGTTATCGGAAGCCCTCCCCTCAGGGGGGCGGGTTTTCGATGATCGCAAGTACGATCTGTCTGTCCAAGATGGGCAGATGGTACGTTTTTTTTAATTACCTTACAACCATCGCAAGACAAAAGTCTTGCGATGGTTGTAAGGTGTATGGCCAACTTAACTGTTGCTGAAAGATGGTCTCCTCCCTAGCTAGACAGGACCGTGCTGTATGGCGAAGCTGTGTAATCTAAAAACTGGATTGACAAATGCATTTTCTTTGGCTGATAAAATCACTCCCTTGTATGAATTTCACCTGTGTATTTAGTTAATTGGCTGGAGGTCAGCTTCAACCTTTTCAGTTGTATTTGGGTTCTGTTGAAATTGTGATCCTTTCTAATAAAGTTTCACCTGATTTGGTTTATTGAAAAGAAAACATGATTTGATTATATCATACACTGTAAAGCTGCCCATACACCTTGCAACCATTGCACGACTTTTGTTGTGCGATGGTTGCAAAGTCATTCAATATTCGTACAACCTGCCCATCTTGGACAGGCAGATCGTACTTGTGATCATCGCAAGCCCTCCCCGCTGAGGGGAAGGCTTGCCGAAGACTGCCATGCTGAGCGGACCGTACTTGCGATGATCGCAAGCCGCGCCCCCCTGAGGGGCGGGCTTCCAATGACCGCAATGGCGAACTGGCAGTGGCCCGTCCGGCTTTTACCTTACGGACATGCTACACACCCGCCGAACATCGTACGATGCTCGGTGGGTTTTCGAACATGTTTGTAAGATAAAAGTCGTGCGACCTTACAGTAGTAGAGGTCGCACGGTTTCCACACACCGTACGATTATCGCAAGGTGAGTGGGCACCTTAAGACCTATGTAATAAAGGACAAATTAGTTTACAATGTGCAAAAGCATGTCAGTCAGTAATAATTTCTCTTTTTTTTTCCATGACTCTATTAAGCAGAGTTCTAATTGGCTGCTGTGGATTACTGTGCTTTGTACACATCTTGCTCTTTCCATTGCCTTATTAAATCATCTCTATTTATATGATACTAATGCTGTTCTATTGGGATTAGTTTGCAGAGACTAGAAGTTGCTTCACCAATAGATTATGAAGTCAGAGTCAAAATGCTGGCTGCCCCCATAAATCCTTCTGATCTAAACATGGTTCAAGGTAAGATCATTTGTGATAAACTCTTGTGGAACAAGTGTGAAGTATGATTGTAGAAATGTAATCACCTGAAACTGTGCAACATACACCATATGCAATTGTTTCCCTTTTTTAAGGAATCATTCCACCCAAAAGCAATATTTTCAGTTTTGGAAGATGCGGAGTTAACGCTAAACTGCGGGCAAATCTGAAAGACACAAATAATGCAGCTCTGCATTTAATTATAAATAATCAAAGGTTTGTTTTAAATTACAATAGTGTAAGTGTCTGAAATTGACAAGAAATCAGCTTCTTGATGTCTTTTTACAGCAGGAGAGAAAACCAGCACAAGGAGCCAGGCAGTGTTCATGTGATAACAAGGAATATACTAATAGAGAGTAGAGAGCATAGTGACCGAGTAATAAGCTTATCAGTCTGCTGCTTCTTCTTTCTCTGTCCAGTCAGTGGAGGGATGAGGGACAAGACCTGTAAGTGTTACCTCAGTTCTCTTGCCTGCCAGAAAGGGCTTTGTGGAATGGTAAAGTGGTGAAAATTTTAGGACTGTGTGGACAGAAATACAAATTCCTTGACAGGGAAAATAGCCCCCATATGATAAATTCCATCTCTGTTTGTCTGGAGGTTAGCTTTCAAGCAGAACTCCGGGCATAAATACTCCTAATTTTTGTAGTGGGACTACCCCTGCACTGCAAGGTTTAAGTACTCATTTTCATTTAGGGATGAAAAAAAAGTTATACTCACCTGATCCTCAGAGCTGGTTGGGTACCAGACTGGTCTCTTCAGCCTCTTTCTCCCTCTGCTCCCGTGTTGGAATATCCCTCGGCATCCTCACATCCTATACATTGTGTATAGAACGTGATGACTTACTGTGCCTTAGAGGGGGAGCGAGGCTGAATGGATCGGTCTAGCAGCCAACCTGCAGCAATGTTCAAGTGAGTATAACCAGTATGAATTTGTTATTTTTCTCCCTAGATGAAAATGAGCATTTAACCCTTGCAGTGCAGGGGTAGTCCCACTATATAATATTCATGCCCCATCTGGCAACTTTTTATTTTCTCTTTTAGTGAGATCTCTGCACTTCAGATCCTGGGCCTGTACATCTGCCGTGGCCATTGCAAATAGGTTCCAAGTTGAATATTGTTATAGGAAATTACAAGAGGGGTAATTGAAGGGACCAGAACAAATATTAAGCCATGTGTTTAACTTGCACTTTGCCTCAACTTGACCTGCTTGAAGAACTTTATGGGAGTGGAAACCCCTTTAAACCAACCAAAGATTGCTGGCACACGCCCTATAGGTGGTTATTTGTCCATGACAGCGACCCTTTTAAGTGACAACATTGTACAATGACTTATGTTTTCACAGGAACGTATGCTTTGCTTCCCCAGTTACCAGCTGTAGGGGGTAATGAAGGAGTAGGTGTGGTGGCAGAGGTTGGAAGTCACGTGTCCTCAGTGAGGCCTGGAGATTGGGTCATTCCAGTGGATTCTGCATTAGGTAAGAAAGTATCCAAACTTTTTTATTTGAACACAATATCATTTTTTTTAACAGAAAAGATTAGGGCATGTGTTGCAGTGAATGGTTAGCATTTTTTGGATCCTCCACTTTTTTTTTTTAACCGTGTCACAACTGCCCTATTGTTTTAAATGTTGGCAAACTTTTGTAATTTAAAGTGATATTAACCACTTAAAAGACCGGGGTGTTAAACCCCCTTCCTGTACAGGCCATTTTTCAGTATTCAGCTCTGCGATACTTTAACTGACGTTTATTCCGTCATACAACGCTGTAATGAAATTATTTTTATACAATTTTTTGGGGACAGATAGAGCTTTCTTTTGGTGGTATTTAATCACCACTGGGGTTTTTATGTTTTACTATATAACATAAAAAAGTACCCTAAATTTTGAAACTGTTGGGGAAAAAAAACATGTTTTCCTATGAAATGTTATGAAACATTCATGATCACCACAATTTTTTGGTAAAATATAAAAGACGGGGTCACGTCGGGTAAATAGACACCAAACATGTCAAGCCTCAAAATTGCGCGCGCCCGTGAAATCGCAGAAAACGACCACACTCAAAATTGATCATAGGCGACGCTTTAAAAGCTTTTGCCGATCATCAGTTTAGTGTTATCAGTGATTAATGGCCCTAAAATGATAACTCTCACTCCGACGTTCGCGGCAATATGTAAAATGTGCAGCACCGTAGGCGCAATCGTCGTTTTCGCACGTAGGCGCACCTGACGCATGTTTGCGCGTGTATGTGGGGGCAGGGGACTTTAGAAAAAAATTTGTGTTATTTTAAATTTTTTATTTGTGACTATTTTTTTTAATGCTTTATTTTCTTCCAAGACCCCTAATGTCAGCTAGGGACCCCCAGAGAAGCCGCTGAAGCAGAGATCTGCTTCAGCAGCTTCTCACCAGCATCTGTAGCTGGGAATGACAACTGAATGCGGAATTCTTGTAATATACATCAACAGTATAACCCAACTGCCTCTGAATTCCTGTGTCCACAATGGAGTCCAAGAAAAAAGATTTTACAGTAAATGCAAATCTTATTTTGCCTTTTCTAATGTTTCTTTATTACACAATATTTCATATTCAGGCACATGGCGTACAGAGGGTGTTTTCAGTGAGGAAGCACTAGTACGAGTCCCAAGTGACATATCGGTGGAGGGAGCAGCAACTCTGAGCGTTAACCCCTGCACTGCTTACAGATTGCTCTCTGATTATGAGACTCTGCGGCCAGGTATGTGTTGAGGATAAGGTGATATATTTTAGATGAAAAGGAGGCGGAAACAAACTGCTTCATAATTCACTTCCTTCTCCTTTCTCACAGGTGATTCCGTGATACAGAATGCCAGTAATAGTGGTGTTGGCCAGGCCGTTATACAAATTGCGGCATCATTAGGCATCACCACTATTAACATAGTAAGGGACAGGTATGTATGTCTATTTATTATGTGATCAGAGACATTTTCAACATAGGACTCTCCCTAATAGAATTTAGATTTGACTTGCTTTTTACACTACATTACACAATGGTTGTGTACTGTATGTAAATTGGCTATGAATCCCTTTTAGGCACTAACAACTGCCACATAGGAGCTTAGCTAGGCTTTTTATTAGTTTTATAAAATATTAGGACTATCTGTATTAGGCAGCTTCATAACCAAGCAGTATTACATTTTCTTTCCCCAATTATAATTTTGCAATGCATTCTTTTGATCCGGGGTAGAAACAAGGTTCTCTAGTGAAAATGCTTCCCCCCCCATAAGCTCAGGCCGATGTACATTTCACATCTACAGCTACATTGGCTAGGACAGTGCAGGATACATACATGACAGTTGCTGCCCAATGGCCCTAGAGTCACCATCCTTAGGTTCAACAGAACAAGATAGGAGGAAGGTGTTGCAATGTGGTTAAACCAGTCACAATCAAAATGTTAAAAACAATATCATTATCTTAAACTAAAATAAATCTTCCTTCTGGGAACTAAAATAGTTTGTAACTCATCAAAAATGCAAATTTTATTCTGTGATTTGTTTGATTTCCCTTTTAGAAAAGCACTAGAATTTTGTTTCTGGTACAATCTATTTTTAATAAATCTCTACCAGAAGGTTAAAAGGCAGGAACAAAAATCAACAAAACCCTTTTTTTTAACACAATCTGCATATGAACCTTTCTTATGAATTACAACTATAGCTAAGGAATGAAGAACTGAGCTGTCAAACTGACCTCTCTTCACTGCAGATTACAGTGGGAAAGAATTGCTCTTCCAGTGTAATCGGCAGAACACTAACAGCGTTGCACTGCTCTGTGTGTATCAGTAGAGGCTGTCACACAGACACCAGAACTCCACTGATTACACCAGGAGAGCTGCAGGACTAGGCTGTCAGTTTGACAGCTTGGTCCTGCACAGTGCAGGAAACTGTTGGGTGATGCAGAGGAAGATGAGGCTCACTTAATTGCCCCACTGACAGCAGAACACCCAAGGCCTGGTGCCTCCTCTGCCTTTGCCCATCCCTACTTGAATCTGGTTAGTATCTGAAAGTTGCCTGAGGGACTCCTTTCCTCAGCTTTATTTATTTATAAATAAAGCTAGAAAATGTGACCTGCTTACCATTAAGAATTTTAATTGCTGCATCTAAAGTATAATCATATCCTAAACTAAGTCACAATAGTACAATTCTTACTCAACAAACAATACACAAAACATTTTGATTGCTGTATGTTTCTTGAACAAATGGTTTAGCAATCCTGATCATGGAGGATAAAAACTATATAAACCTTTAGAAAAAAAATCTGTTGCAGTATTGACTTATCAAGAGACTTCTGATTTTAAACACATCCAAGGAAACGTTAATATGCAGAACATGGCACCCTCTGGACCGAAAGCTGAAATTTTTGAAGATATAGGTACCCCCATGGAGATCCCATTAAAAGTAAAGTTTGTTTTGACAGAGTATAAATATTTATAAAATTCTAACATGTCACACATAAAGCCAAATAAATGAATAGTTCAGACCGTACTTATTGCTAGCTCTATTGCAGATCAGTTATAAAGTCGCTGACAGAGCTCTGCTATTCTAAATGCTATCAGAAAATACAGTGATAAGAATATAACAAGCCTTCTAACCAATATATTTCTGCAGGCCAGATCTTCAGAGCCTGGTGCAGAGACTTCATGATGTAGGAGCTGATCATGTGATCACAGAGGAACAGCTGCGCAAGCCAGAGATGAAGGATTTATTTAAGGTACGGTCAGTCATCTTGTCCATCATATATATTTCCACTTGTACAGTACGTCTCTGATGCCATAATGTCTCTTGCAGATTTGCCCCCGCCCACGATTAGCATTGAACTGCGTTGGTGGGAAATACACAACTGAAATGCTGCGTCATTTAGAGTAAGTAGCCCTCAAGATGACATTAGAATATTTTATTAAAAAATGTTGTAGGTATACATTACAGAAAACATAAACAAGTAGAATTTTCCCCAGATCTTTTCCCCTTAAAAGAGTGATACAATAGACTGGTTACGTGCGTGTGTGTGTTCGTACAGCAAGTATTCAGACCCCCTTTCCTTTTTTTCAATTTTGTTATGCTGCAGCCTGATACTAAAGATATTTAAATTTCTTGGGGTACAGAGTGTAGATTAGTGAGAAAAAAAATAATAATTTAAAGAACTGTAGTGTCAGGCTGCAACATAGTGAAGTGAAGGGGGTCCAAATACTTTCTGAAAGCACTATATATAATTTTATTTTTTTTAATCAGATTACAAAAGTATACTTAAAAAGTTCAGAATTCGACTGTTTTATAGCTCAGCCTAATGTCATATTTACTTGAGAGATTCAAAAGTGACTGTATTTTTAAGATGGCATGTGTCCGCTCAGTCCTGGGGGGAAATCAAAGGAACTCCAGTCAGACAGCTTTCACAGCTAAGGTCCACTTTATGTTGTCGTTAGATGTAGAGTTGGGAAATTGTGTTGATGACAATTCTTCTACAGACCTTATAATATTAATAGGTGTTCTAGATGTCTTCACTGTAATATAACTATGTTGTCTTGAAACTATTTTATGTGCCAGGAAGCTCGTGATAGAAACACATGGTCTACCATGGCTGACCTGAAAATAGTAGTTTCTGGCTACAATAGTTTCTAAGTCACTAATTTGGAACCAGCATGTAAATAAGGAGTTCTATATTAATTCTGACTTTAGGTTAGTGATGCAGGAACATACCAACAAGTACAAATCTAAAAGTATATGCCAGGCGTTTTATATAAACCAATAGAACTATGTAGCCAATACCAAACATTAAATCAAATAAGCTTTTGCTATTATCGACAAATGTTACATAGTCAGGCTGAAAAGGTAGATAGAGTTTAACCAATAGAGGAAAAAAATGAATAAATAAGTAGAAAACCTCCAAAAAAACAGATCCCTAGGCCCACAGTTCACCGACAGGTAGACAAAAAAACCCTATAAAGCATGGTCCAATTATCACCTACAAAGAAGAAAAAACCCATTCTGTCCAGATCCCCTAAAGCAGAGGTGTCAAACTCAAATACACAGTGGGCCAAAATTTTAAAAATTCTCCAAGTCGAGGGCCGGGCTGGTTCACACAGTATATTATTATTATTACATATTATTTATATAGCGCCAACAGTTTGTGCAGCGCTTTACAATATAAGGAAGACATTACAGTTACAATACAATTCAAGACAAGATGGTAAGGAGGGCCCTGCCCCTGGGGGCTTACAATCTAAAAGAGGAGGGGGGAAATGATACATGAGGTAGCTGTGGGAATGAATTATGTGAGAGTGTGAAGGTTCAGTGGTTAGGTTGAGGTGGGATAGGCTTCCCTGAAGAGATGAGTCTTTAGGGAACGCCTAAAGGCAGTCAAAGTGGGAGATAGACGGACAGGTTGGGGTAAGGAGTTCCAGAGGATGGGAGATACTCTAGAGAAGTCCTGGAGGCAAGTATGGCAGGAGTGGACAAGGGAGCTGGAAAGCAGGAGGTCAATGGATGAGCGGAGGGGACGATACAGTATAAATCAGCGGCATATACAGTATATCGCATGGTATAATAAAGCCTGTACTTTTAATTATGAAAAAGCATGATACATAATTACAATAAAACATATTTTTTTTTTATTTAATTATGTAAGAAATAGCCTAAATAATAAAAGCCCAAAACAGACATTAAATAGTACAGAGCATTTACAGCAAAAGAATTTACTTAAAAAAGTTTTTCCATCAATTAGAGTTGTTTCAAAAAATAGTTTTATCTCTATTTAAATTACTGTAAAAAAATGAAGATCGCCACAGGCAGCGTGAGAGAGCTGCCGGCGGGCAGGGCCAGATCTAATGATAATTATCATCAGGCGGGCCAGAGATTATTCCGTCGCGGGCCGGTTCTGGCCCACGGGCCTTGAGTTTGAGTTTGCCCTAAAGCAATCGGATATTCCCTGGATCAACAATCTCAGGTGTTTGTTACCTAAAAATATGAATATCCAGTTCTATTCTGCACATTTATGAATGCATCCAGTTTTTTTAAAATCAATTAACTGATCTGGCTAGAACTAGTTCCTGAGGAAGCCTTTTTCACAGCTCTTACTATGAAGAAGCCTTTCTGCATGCAATTCAGTTCAGCTAATCTTTCCTCATAGCTGAGCTCCTCCATTCCTCTTAAGAGTTTAGTTGCTCTTCTCTGCACTCTCTCCAGGTCCATAACATCCTTTTCATGAACTGGTGCAAAACAACTGCATAGTCCATATAAAATCTTAACCCATGCTGTCGGGCTACCCCTGCACTGCAAGGGTTAAGTGCTCATTTTCGTCTAGGTTTTAAAATAAAGATACTCATCCAAAACCTCACACGGCTGGCTGCTAGACTGGTCCCTGCAGCCTCTCTCCCCCTCTACTTTAGCAATGGAATGTCACTCTGCATCCTCACGTTCAATTCACTGTATTGGACGTGATGACTCATGGGTTCTTAAGGTGGTCATACATTGTCTGATTTTCTTGGCATGAACCCTCGTTTGCTTATACCTAGATTTCCCAATCAAGCATAGTCAAATGCCGATTTTGGAAATCGTTCGTTAGCCATACTAACCAACCAATTTTTGATGAGCGATGGAAATAATTTCCTTTTGCACATGTGCTGTGTTTTTGCAGAGATTTTTCACGAAGGAAACCCCACTCATTCATTGATTTTTGTTTGGGCAGAAATTTTTTTTTTCCAAGCTGACCTAACAAAAGCTTTCAATCACAATATCTAAAACGGAAATCGGTGATGTCACATCAGCTGTTCAATTTCCGTTCGAAATACCGTTCGTGTACGATTTCCAAGTGAAAGTCGCAGTGTATGTGCACCTTTAAACTGCCGGAGTAGAGGAACCATTTCCACACCCCTATATCTCCTCCTACTTCTGGCTGTCCAAATTCACTATCTAATACCCATTGCTATAAGTGATAAGAAACAAGTGCCATCACCAATGAAAACAATGTAAATGTTTGTCTTTTTAATAAATGTCATATGTCTGAATGCATACTTGTCCATAACTGCACTTGAAGGCACTTTAAGCCATAAAAGTGGAAGATTCACATTTACGGAGGAACAAACTAAAGAGCAGCCCTCCATGCGGCATAGTATGTCCTGACAGAGCACCCATTGGAAGAAACGCGTCAGCATTTGTGGTATGGGCACATATCCGCAGGCTCTACATCTCCAACTGCCAGCAGTGAATTTAAGAAGCTGACGTGGCAATGGATTTGCTAATTATACCAAACACACTGATTCAATAAGCGTCTGAGTGATCTGACTAGTGCACTTGCATTGCAAAGACAGAGATAACTGGGATACACGTAAAGACCTGTATGAGCATGAAGGAGAGTTAACTCTCCAAAGATCAGTGTAAGTGCTGCTGTAGGCTCTGCCTGGGGCTGATGTCTTACCAGTGCTTGCTGGAATGACATGTCTTGTTGCTTTGCTTTGCTATGTGCATATACATTTGAGGCTCCTGCTTCCTTCATGCTTTACTGCAGTTAATGTTTTACAGCTGAATGGATAATGTGTATAGTGGATAACGGACACATGGATTCTATGCTGCTTTTTTATCTTTTCTGTTGCATCAAGAAGTATATATACTGTATCCTATATGAATTCCTAATATCAGTATACTGTTTTTTTGCATCTAGCCAGGTTTTTTAGGCACTGTATAAGACAATTGACAAAGAGGACATTTTCCTTTTTGGATTTCTTTTACCTAAATGATGCACATTATTCTGTTTTGTTTACAGTTGTGATTTATTGAACAGGTAAAGATTAACATAGTTTCCATTGGTGATGGCAGCTTTTTGTTATTACTTGTAGCAGCAGATTTTAGCCAATTTGGACAGCCAGAAGAAAGGAGGAGGAATATAGAGGTGTGGAAATGGTTAGACAAAATCCTGTTTTATGGAGGAGGAATGTTTTTGTTAATATTTTTTTTTAGAATTTGCATTTGATTTTTTTTTAAATACTTTCCATTGTATTTAAAATTTATATCTGCGTTTATATGTGGCAGGTAGCTATATCCAACAATCTTCTATGCATAAATGCATGTACCATCTTTATTTAAAGTTAAAACTCACATGTCACTATGCTCCATAAATTGTGCACCAGATATACAAGGCATACAAAAGAAGAAGGGTTCACTTTGCAGAGATTGTGCCACTTCACTCTGATTTCAAACTATCGAAGCCAGAGGTCCCAGCATGACAGCCAGGCAACCTGTGTGGTTTTTTTTTTTTTTTAGAAAAAGTCCACAGTTGCTGTCCTTGCATTTTCCTTAGCACAGGTTTTCTTTTCAATCCTAACACCAGACACATTGATTTTTAATTTTTTTTTAACCCTTAATATTTTGTATAACACTCAATTAATCTGTAATTAATTTCTTAACAGTAGTTTCCCTTTTATCTTTTGTACTAAGCCATTATATATAAACATATTTGTTTATTGATAGCAGCGCATAAGGTTTTGTCCAGTTTTTTACAGTTTTTGTGTTTGCTTTTGGCTTTTAGTTATGGTGGCACTATGGTGACATATGGCGGAATGGCTAAACAGCCTGTTACTATCCCTGTGGTGAGTAATCCACTATCTGCTACTTAATTTGGAATGTCTATTTGAATGCTTAATATATTGTCAAAGGGACCTACATCAATGTCTGCATAAAGCTCTGTTAACAGAGCTTTGCATTGATGAATAAAAATTAGGGATGCACAGAAATTTTTGGCCCCCCGAAACATTTCAGTCGAAAGTTGCACTTTTGGCAAAATGCTGAAAGTGCCATGATGGCCGAAAATGCGGCGAAAAATTCAGTGCATACCAGCTTCTCTCCTCCCCGCTGGGCGCCGGTCTGTGTGCCTTCCGATGCAGCAGCCCGCACACGGCGGGGAGGAGAGAAGGTTTCACGATGTGGAGAGTGCTGTCAGCGTTGCAGGAGGTCGAGCTCTCCTCGCGTATCTCCTGGCTCAGCCTTCTGTGTCAGCATGGAGAGCACTACAATTGTTACAGGGGGATTCGGATACCTAGCTCAAGGGCTACTCATGGGCAAGTGGGTATACCTGAGGCTTCCTCTGGGGACTTTTTTTCCAGATGGGTTGCCTGTTAGCCCAGTATTTGGCTTACTACCCTCTTCTAATGCGTCTTATGCCCCTCCTGTGGTACCACATTCTTCTTCTCTTAGCAGAGAAGATTTTGCAGCCTTTAGATGATGGTTTTCATGGGTCACATTTCTACGACATGTGTCTGACTGCAGAGGGTGCAAGTGCAGTCCCACTCCCTTTTTCCATCTGATTCTGTTTTAGACTTGGCCATAGCTACTGCCCTTATGCCGGAAGACCATAAGGGAGGGGAGGATGTTGAACCAGATGCCTACCTACTTGTACTCTGATGTCTCCTTTTCAGGAGGTTCTGCCTTCATCAATCCTGTCTCCATAATTGTGTGACACCATTTCAGTACTTGTAGACTAGTTGAGAGTATGTCTTGCCATAAGACTTGCCAGGATCGGCCTATGGTCACCAGTATAGATTCCCTTAAGAAAAAGAGGCCCTCTAAAACCTTCCTGATACACTCCCTGGTAGAAGGGGGCTATATACAGGTTGCCAACATCCGAAGAAATTATTCACTGCTCCACAGCAATTTGTTCAGTAATACCCCTTAGAGGAATTTTTCTTTAAGACGTTGGCTGCATCTACCTGTGGCACTGCTATCTCTTGCTTCTAACAAGTCTCTGACTGTACCAGTGGAGGATGTTACAGCCTTTTAAGGACCCTGTGGTTAGGATCTTTGAGTGTTTGTTTAAGGCCCCCCTTGCCCTTATCCAAGCAAGGTTTGTATCCAGGTCCAGAGATCCGTGCGCATTAAAGACAGATGCTCTGTTAACTCTATGGGATCGGTTCTCCCTGCTCTACGCCTTTCTTCCTTTTGAAGATCATTGCTCAGCTGTTTCAAAGGTAGAATGCATTCCAGTGATCCTCATGGCTCCAAACTGGACCACCCTCTGTATGCGGGCAGAATCCCCATGGCCGCTTCTAAACTGTCTGGACATTCTGACTCAAGGCCCAGTTTTCTATTATGCTTCTCAGTCGCTGGCTTGATGGCCTGTTTATCGAAACCCTGGTACTCAGGTATAAAGGACTGTCGCACATTTTTTCCACACTCTTTCAGGTCAGGAAGGCCACCTCTCATAAGTTGTCCATCGTACCTGGAGGGCTTACTTTCCAAACAGACGATTTAATCATCTGACTTACATCGTGGGACAGATTTAAGCCTTTCTCCAATCAGGACTGCATCAGCAATTGGCCTGGAGTACGCTTATGGGGCAGATATTGGTCTTGCCATTGTTTTGCAGTGGTCCTGGTGGCCTTGGCTTTGATATATACCTTGATAAAGGCTTTTGTTCAGGGTGTCTCCTAGATGCCCTCCAGTGATGCCATGGGATCGTAATCTTGTACTCTCATCTCTCCAGTGAGTTCCCTCTGACCCCATCAGAGATATCTCTTTGACTGGTCTTGTGTGTGGAATGGTTTTGCTATCAGTTGGTGACTTCATCGTAATAAGGACATTGTCCTTCCCTCCATTTTTCTTGTCCTGAAACATCCTAAGGTGGTCTCTCTAAACTGTTGGGATATGGCTAGGGCTGACTCAGTTTATCTCTTGGCTACAGCTTCATTCAGTCGGACGGAGTGTAAATGCATTCTTCCTGGTCTTGCAGGGGGCTCTCTGCGTCTCCTTCCATCTTGCGGTGGATTAGACAGGTCATTATACATGCCTGTTTGGTAAAGGAAATGCTCCTCATTTTCCTGTTAAGGCACATGCCACTAGATCTATCAATGTCTCTTGAGCGTTCGTTATCAAGCATCTGCTTTAATGATTTGTCAGGCCACCGCCTGGTTTCTGTTCTCACGTTTTCTAAGTTCTACCAGGTGGATGTTCAGGTATCTGCTGATGCTAGTTTTGGCCATAAGGTGCTGCGGACTGCTATCTTAGTTGGGGTTTCTCCTTGTTTTCTGTTTATGTGCGGTTGTTTGCTGTGTTGCCCACCCCTCTGTTCTGTTGCTTTTGGATGTCCCAGTCTCCTCTGAATTTTGCTGTGTCCTGTACTGTACAATCAAGAAAATAGGATTTTTTGGCTTACCAGTAAAATCCATTTCTTGGAGTACAGTACAGGAAACGGGACCCTCCGCGCTATGTCCTCTATTGCTTGTTAAAAAAAAAAGAGGATTTCCTGAAGTGGGAGGGTTTATATGAGGATCCTCACAGCTCTGGGCAGTGTCTAATCAACTGGTGATACCTGCATATTACCCAGTCGCCTCTAAATTTGCCTGTGCCCTGTATAGTGCTTGAAGAAAGGGATTTTATTGGTGAGTCCTAATTGTTTTTTGCTTCTCCGTTGTACCCAAAACTAAAAGGAAGAAAAACAATTCAGTCTGTATTAATTGTAAATTTTCAGGGCCCACTTTAACTGTCTACTACACAACCTCTAGCGTAATTAATCCCAAAACTGAGGCAATGTGGCAGTTTTAGTGACAGGGCACGAGTCTAAAATTCCTGAAGGGAGGAGTTAAAAAAAGCCAGTGTCACCTCAAGCCTGAGATATCAGTTTGGGATGGACTTACCCTTAAATGCCCTGGTGCCCGACCTGCAGCCCTTTGGACCCTTGGGCTCCAACACACAGTAGTAGGGAGCATTGATTTGTAAAGGGGCTGTAGTAGCAATGATGTGTAGCAGTCTTGTGTAACATATGCTGTTAGAGACTGTAGATTTTTTGAGCCTTCAACTACACATGCAGCATGTTACCAGTCTGTGACCATCCCCAACTGTCTCTAACAATCCTCTGTAGCTTTACATGTGCTGAATATTATGTGCAGCTTCCTGGATATGTAATATATGGCAGTTGAGGCTCCCTTTATTTAAATTTGTTGTTCTCTGCTGCTTTATGCCTCATGCACACACAACGCAAGAGCAAAAATGTATATTGCTTATATACACGTATGTATATGTGTGCACTATATGCAATATGCATCATTCTTAATAGAAATTTTACTGTACGTACACGCACGTAAAATACGGAGCCCAGGCGCATCTCGGATCCATTCTGTTTTTGCGCATCTTTACGCAGCGCAAATATACGGCTCCATGCGCAACTATGTGTATGGAGCCATTTATTTGCATATGCTGAATATGGAAAAAACACGCTGCACGCATCTATACGCAGCGTATTGTACAGCAGTGTGACTGAGGTCTTAGTGCCTAATCAGTACACCCGTTATTTAATTCATGCAACCTGAAAGGGGTTAAGTCGCTGGCAACTGTAACAACTTTTTGTGCTCATGGTTATCTTTTTCAGAGTGCTCTAATATTTAAAAACATCAGGCTGTGTGGTTTTTGGGTAACTCAGTGGAAAAGAGACAGACAAAACAGTGAGTACCTAAACACCTTGAACCTGTTACTGTAACAATTATTATTGGCTGTCTGAGTTCTGCCATTTGTTGCACATGACATTGATTTGTCTTTTGTACCCTGATCTTTAGATCGTGAAGAAATCACCAAGATGATCCGTGACCTCTGTGATTTGATCCGCAGAGGAAGGCTTGTTCCACCCCCTTGTTCCTATTGGCCATTAGAAAAATTCCTTCAGGCCTTACAAGATGCCCAGACTCCGTTTCTGTCTCGAAAACAAATCCTGACTATGCAGTGAGGCACTAAATTAATTTACAAAAGCTGTGTGTCTTTCATTCTAATTACCAGTGCGGAACTGTATATTTATAGATGTACTTTATAGGTATATATTTTTATGCTAGCAAGCACAAAGATCTCAAGTTTAAATATTTATTCTAAACTGTGAAATGTGACTACATTATAAATACTGTTTTATTGTATTTTTAATTGTATGTATATAATGCTTCGTAGAGCCTTCAAAAATATATTGTCGCAATCAATAACTTGACTGTGTTGTTCTTTCTTTCCAATTGATACGTATTTCTTTTTCAGTGGACTATTTGTTGTAATTTCTTGTGTTTTTTATTTCTCTTTATGATCCTGTACCTCTCTGCATGTTATGATATTTTTAACTGGAAATGTACTACCTTTACTCCACTCCAATGCAATAGCTGGGATAGATGAGCAACAGTCACAACTCCTTCACATGCATCCTTACTTGTAAATGATGGAGTAGAGAGGGGGCATGTCTGACCAGGTTGGTAAGAGGTAGGGCTGGTTTTAGACTAAATTGGGGCTGCATATGTGCTGTGTAATAGGAGTGTCTCAACAGAACAAGGATCAATAAAAAAGTAGATACAAAAAGCGGGTGTGTTTTTACGAAGTGCAGTAAATAATGCTAAACCTTTCTAGCCTCTACATTAGCAATAGGCAACCTCAGCACTCCAGCTGTGCTGAAACTACAAATCCCATCATGTATCAGCCTCTTGGAGTCATGCATGTAGCTCTCAGTTTTGCAATGCTTAATAGGACCTGAAGTTCCACCACCGCTGGAGTGCCTACCCCTGCCTATCTACCAAAGCAGTAGTAAAACACTGCCTATAATAAGCAGATTATGACCAAAAATAGTATTCTATTGGATAAAAAGGAAGTGGGTGGTTTCCAAAAAGTGGGCTTTCGCAATCGGTAGCATAGTAATACCATATTCAGAGGCGTAATTCCTCCTTGGTATACAATATTTCTTAGCAGGTGGCTGGGTCCTTAAGGGCAGTTTTTAAAGAACATAGAGAGGAAGACCTGCGGACACATTTGGGTACAGAGGAAAGAGAAAAACCTGCTGCGTGCTCCAGTAAAACCTATGCTTAGCCTTTATCACACTGTGTGGTGCAGTGATTTAACCCTTTTGCGGCAAGATGAGGTTGTGCCAAGTAAATAGATGCCAAACATGTCAAGCTTCAGAATTGCGTGCGCCCATGAAATGTACCCAAAATTGTCTATAGTCAACACTTTAAGATTTTACAAGTAGAGGTTTTCGGCATTAGTATGTGCATGTACACATGGGAGCGGCACTTTAAAAAAAATTTTGAGTAGTGTTTTTACATTTATTTTAACTTTTTTAAAAAAAAGTTTAAAAAAATGCTTTATTGCTATCACACAGGGGGCTCAAAAGACACATTTTAGAGCCCATGGAAGTAATCAGGCATCTTTACAGCTGTCTGAATCCCTTCCAGTGTAAAGAATTTCACAGGCACCCATGAACCTCAGGACCAAAGATAATTTTAAAAATTACTCTTCCATTACAATTTTTTTTACATGGAATAAAGAAGCAGAGCTAATACCTTCTTCCGAATGCTGAGTTTATTTTAAATGACCACTTTATCTCTTTGGATGGATTTCCTGTTACTTGCTGTTAGACAGGAAGTGAAGGGGAATATCCCCAATAGGACACCAATGACAAAATATGCTGATGGGGGTTATAATTCTCCCTAACTCCCCAACGGAAAAAAAAAAAAAAACATTTTTGGCTTTGGTTCTTTTTATAATAGTCCTCATACACGGCCTTGTGGTTGTCAGTTAAAGTGACATTAAACCCTCAGATCTTTTAACATATACCAATACTGTAATGTGTGCCTTACTGTAATCCATGGTAGTTTCCCTTCTCTTTACTGCTCTTCCTTTTTAAATCCGTATCTGTTCTCATGCTGGGCAGAACTTCTGTTTTGCAGCAGACTGCCTTGTCTCTGGAATGGATACATGGTGTCTGTGTGTAGGTTCACAACCTGAGCCAGCACTACAGGTAGAGGCAGTCACCTGCAAAGGGACGTTCTCCCCCAGCATGAGAAGAGATAAGGATTTAAAAGGAAGAGCAGCAAAGAGAAGGGAAACTACCATAGATTACAGTAAGGCACACATTACAGTATTGGGTTATGTTAAAAAATCTGAGGGTTTAATGTCACTTTAAGAATATGTTGGACCTAAGCTGCTATTTCCTGTGTACTTGTTTAAAATAACTCCTGTACATAAAAATGTTCATTTTGGTTGTATAACAGGTGAGACAGAAAAAAGATCATCTTTTACACCTCACCAGTTTTCCACTTTTGCTTCATCGGGGACCCACTCATCTTTTATATATTTCTTTTTTATGTTTTGATTATACATTTTAGAGAAAACTCCATATAATGTTTTTATTTGGTTAAATGTTTATTCATAGATTTTGAAAGGCCACATTTCACTGTAATAAACATACTAAAAGAACTCTGTGTATAAACAGAGAAGAAACTGCCATGTAAATATGCCTTCATTGGTGCACTAAAGAAACATTTACAACCGTTTCATCCAAAACACCTTCAATATTTTGCTGACTCATCATGTGACAGGGCTTGACCACTACCAAGCACTCATCATGTGCTTCACTTCCAGCACACATCCTGTACTTGAGGATATAATACCATCAAGGAGAATGGCATGGGAGATCAACACTGCACTTTGTTCTTACAACATTTTCATGTATTTTTTACAAGTGTTATGCTTAAAAGGAGTCTGTACTGAGGACGTATGGAGGCTGGAATTGCTCATTTCTTCATCTGAAAATACTAGCAGCATGGCTGTCATGCTGAGGTCCTGTACTTTGTCACTGAGCCAGGATAATTATGCAGGTTATATGTTCTGACCTTGCTGTAACTTTCCTAATATACACACTTGTTCCAAGTAAGAGGGTTAGAAATTACTGAAGGAAGTCAATAATATTTCCAGTTATATAACATCACGTAGGCCAATATGCCTAGGTCAGCCATAACATTATGACCACCCCCTAATACTGAGCAGGTCCCCCTTTTGCCACCAAAACAGCTCTGACCCATCGAGAGGTGTGCTGTGATATCTGGCACCAAGCTGTCACTAGCAGATCCTTGGGGCCTCCATGGATTGGATGTATTTTTCCAGCACATCCCGCAGATGCTTGATTGGATCGAGTTCTGGAGAATTTGGAGGCCAAGCCAACATCTCAAACCTTTCTTGAACCATGTTTGCAGTGTTTCAAGGTACATTATCTTGCTGAAAGAGGCCACTGCCATCAGAGAATACCTTTTATCATGAAGGAGTATATTTGGTCAGCAACAATGTTTTTAGGTAGGTGGTACGTGTCAAAGTAACATCCACATGAATGGCAGTACCCAAGGTTTCCCAGCAGAACATTGGCCAAAGCATCATGCTGGCTTGCTTTCTTCCCATAGTGCATCCTGGTGCCCTCTCTTCCCAAGGTAAGCGACATGCCTATTCCCACTAGGTAAAATAAAATGTGATTCATCAGACCAGGTCACCTTCTTCCATTGCTCTGTGGCGCAGTTCTGATGCTAACGTGCCCATTGTTACGCTTGGCCATTTTTTTCTCCTTCCAAAATATCTTTAGAGATAAAATGTTCACTTGCTGCCTAATATATCCCACCTACTTCCAGGTACCATTGTAACGGGATAATCAATGTTATACACTTCACCTCTCCATGGTAAGAATGTTATGCTGCTTGCCAACAGCTCCAATGTAAGGTCCACTGTATTCCTGTACCTAGGTGTTTCCAATCTATTTGCTTGTGGCCATGACAGAACTAGATGATGAACCTGTGCAAGTGATGCAACAATATTTAGGTTCCCTATCCATGTCCTGTATGGCATATCATTTTCTACAGTAGTCACTTCTCTAGCATCCCAGATGAAGAACACAATCAGATCTCACTTGTGGCATGAATTATTGGCAGTTTTGATACTATTGCTTGCCAATGGTCACATTTTCTTCTATACAAAGTTTAGTATCATATAGTTCTGTGCCTTTGATAAGAGTTTCTGCAGGCAAAGTATGCAAGGGTTTGACCAGTTGCAATCATGATAAGCAATCCACAGCCTGTGAAACAACATAAGAACATTGCAGATTAGTTCATATGCAAATTTGAACAGCATTCTAAATAAAGGAAACATGTTTTTTTATCTTTCAAACTACATTTTGTGCATAAAACCTTTTACTTCTTACAGCTTCATATACTTTATGGTGGACTTATTGTTACTGTCATCATGTTTGTGCAATATATCTAATTCAATAGGATGGACAATAGAACAGCAACCCAGCAGCATATGATTTTTTTTGCCATTGTATAGAATGCATATGGACATGAAGCTGATACCAACAGTCACATGGTATAACAGTTTAGATCAGGGGTCCTCAAACTTTTTAAACGGGGGGCCAGTTCACTGTCCCTCAGACATTGTTGGGGGCCGGATCAGGAAGCCAGGAGGCGGGTCATGACATGCTGCCCAGCTTCCTGATTGGCTGGGAAGCCAGCTTCACTTGTTGGTAGGCAGCCCGGCTTCCTAACCAATCAGTAAGCTGGGCGGCACGTTCTGACCCACCTCCTGGCTTCCTGATTGGCTAGGAAGCCGGCTTCACTTTTTTCTAGGCAGCCTGGCTTCCTGACCAATCAGGAAGCCAGGTGGTGCATCATGATCTGTAATCGCCGGCCGCTCGCTGCTCAGTGGGGGTCCTTAGGAGGCCCCAGCGGGCGGCCCTCTACAATGCCTGATTGCCTCGTATGCAATCCGGGCTGTCTAGATCAGGCAGACACGGCCCTCTAATCAGGCATCGTAGATTTCCGCCCGCTGGGGCCTCCTAAGGACCCCCTTGAGGAGCGAGTGGCGGCCCAATTAGAGAGCCGCATCTGATGCAGCGGTGACGCCCCCCTCCCATGAGGCATTGCAAGATTCTCACAGACATGACTCCCTTAGAGAGATGCATCATGGGATTTGTAGTTTCACCACAGCTGGAGGGCCGGAGTTTGGCTACCCCTCGTTTAGATCCTCCAATGGAAAGTGGCAGTCAGATTGTATTTCTCTTTCATATACTGAATTACACAGCAAATCATGTTGCTGTGTCACCCTGTCCCCAGGCTAACAGCACCCCTGTTCCGGCAGAGAAACGACCTGTCATGGGAAGCGGTGCCACCCACGCATCCTGTGAGGATCAGTAAGTATGTGATGGTATGTAATGGTTTGGAGGAC